ACGATACCATTCCTATCATACAGTATATGTTTTAAACTAATCTAAATATTTTAAGACTAATTAAAAATTAGAAAAATAATTTAAATACAATAGATATGAATATTATCTTTTTTTGTTCAAAATTATGAGACCCTTATTATTACGTCAAAGTAGAATATATTGATTACAATAGTAAAAGTTTGCGATAAAGTCAACCGTACAGCACCTATCAATTAGTACTTTATATGGTGTTATACCGTATTTGACATTGTTTTCATAGGTATATCGCACTGGGAGTTATTGGGTCAACCCATCTCTCGCATACATCGTTATGTGTAATCTCGATGTGTGAGCCGGTTATGTTCAACTCAATTATATGTTAATTTATTGTTTGATTATATTTCCTATTATTTTGATGTTAATATTTATTAATATTTCTCTACCTAACAAAACCTGTGCCCCACAAAAAAATATCTACAAATATATGATTTCATTCATAGGCGTGAATAGCAAACACACAAAGTATACGAAAAAGTATAATAAGAAAAAGAAAACTTTGTTAATAAATGAACAAAAAAAATATACAAAAATACACTTTTATTTTGGAGATATTAGATAAAAATAAAACTCCATTTAATCGTATGTGGAAATCATAATCTAATTTTCCGTATATGTTAGCAACAACGTCTAAGGGATAGGGTATTATATTTTATTACCAAATTTTCTACTAATAAATAAAAAGCAATTTTTGGGTCAATTTGTGTTTGAGTGTATTAATTATCACATTTGTTACGGTTTTCTACTGTTTGTTTCGTACGGAACGCCAGTATTTTCTCAAACATTATATTAATACTAATATTTTTAATTAAAATTGTGAACTAAAAAAAGGAGTTATAATTTATTTCGATTGCTGAACACAAGTGAATGTTAAATTAATTTAAAAATACATAAATTATTGATATTAATAATAAAGGCGCTCATTAACTGCCGGTGAATAACATATATCGTGTAATACATTATTAACGAGAAATAATGTAATTAGTATAATATCTGGCATTTAAGGGGAACAACACACCGCCACAAAACTCGTGGAAAGGCTTATACGGCATAATAATATATAGAATATTAATTTGTGTGAAGTTTTTTTTGGGCAAAATTGAAAACATAAATTTGAAATTCAAATGCAATATTTGTTACATTGTATATTAATAATAAATAAAATAGCATCTACCTGTGCGCCATGCATACAGGTGCGAACGCACAATTATCTAATTCCCAAATCTAAGACTCATGTGTGCAGTAATTCGTTGAGAAGTTTTTCAATAATAATCTGCTTATTAATAAGACATATGAAATCGATTAGAAAAGTAACTTTTTTTTAATTATCATTATTTTTAAATATATATTGTGTATAATAATATTTACGACCGATTCTTGTGTTCAAAGAGCTTATCAGATGAATGAAGTGAATATATAAATGAAAAATAAGTTTTGTAATCAATTTATTCATGAAAAAAAGTAAAATAAATAAGTTTTTTCAGATACTGTAATATACATGAAAGTAATCGATGAAAAGGATTGATAGCTGCAGTGCCTAACGTAATATAAAACACTTTTAATGTGTTTTGAATTAAATAAACAAAAGTAAAACACATTATTTTATAATGTTATTATACAATAAGACTTATGATTTATATTCAAACAAATTATTATTCATTTTCGTATGCATTTTGTTTTTATTTCCTAATTTTAAATTCAAATATTCAATAATCTATTAAACAATTTGAATGTATATTAATGTTGAACACAATCTGATCGTAGAGACAGTTATCTTGAATATTATGAATGATATGTTTTAATGAATAATTTGATTGCATATTAGGACCCCTAATGAGACAACAAAAACACAAACTTTTTATTGTTTTTTCTGCACATTCTTTCGTATGATTAATAATTTTGTGACTCTTTTGCACTTAAATAAACAAATATAATAAATATTTCAAGGAATCAGACATGAGATCACTTCCCAATAGAAATCAGTCTCCATATGAGATATAAATAGTATCTCAAACGTCAGTATCAATTTGAAAACCACTCACTCGTGAGGTTGTTATTGTCATCTCTCTCTCTCTCTCTCTCTCTCTCTCTCTCTCTCCAAACACTTATCGTTATAGTTATGGATATAAATATAATAACCCAAAATATATGGACAGAGTCTCCTAGTCTATGCATTAAGTACATGATATTTATGGCATAAATATTAACCACCAGTTCTTGCATTTGATTGTTGTTGTGGTCGATAAACAAAATGCAAAATTAATCACTGAATCTAATGGCAAAGTGTTTGCCCTCTCTCTTGGGTGTGAGTGTCTCATACATGCACTCGGTATCAAGTTATACAGTTCCCTTCATTAACAATGCATAGTCACTAATATTTGTGTCTTGATCGATGATCGGACTATACAAATAATTGTTTTACTTAATAAAACATTAATGTATTTAAATAAAATAAACCCTCTCTCTCCCTTCTCTCTCTCTCTCTCTCTCTCTCTCTCCACAAATTCAATGATAGTTTGATTGATTCAATGGATTCTGTGTTTAGGAAATCATGAAAACAAATAATTTATTCATGGAAATAGGTTTGTGATATACTAGGAATTATTTTTGGGTTAAAATTTATGACTATTTCTATGGAAAAACTGTTGTTTACAAAAGGTTTTGAAATATCATAATAAAACTTTAAACAATTGAATTTCTTGAAACATGTATTGAAAATAATTTATAAATACAGTAAATGAATTAATGGTATAATAATTTTGCATTATTTTTGTGCTTAAGATTTATGATTTCGGTTTTGGTTTTTTAATTGAATAAATAAGAAATATATTTTACGACATAATGCATGACATAAGATAATCACCGTTTTAATTAACATTTTTAAAATTTAATAATAATTATTATAGTGATAACGAAAATCAATGCAAAATCAGTTTCATGGCATTGAATTCAATACAAACATAGACTGCAATAAATTCCGTTGCAATCGCTTATAATAACTATTATTATAGCTATCCTTTGCCTTCATATAAATATTAATTAATTTAGATAAAAAAATATAGATATTATTGAAATTGTTTTTATAAATAATTCAATGATAAAAATCAATTGAAGTGCAATTTAGTGGAAAAAGGATTAGCATGCTGTTTCTGTCAAAAATGCATTCTTATAATGGCATAAAAACAAAAACAAAAATTTTATTTTCAAAACCAAATTCCGGGAATCGGTTTGAAGTGAGAATCGTATTTACACTTCAATATTATTATTGTGTTTCCATTTTAGGCTAACAAATACATACATCTTAATTTTGTATACAAATACACACTCTCATCTCCCGGTGCTCTCACGTGTATGAATAGATCACTTAAGAAACAACAAACTGAAGGAAAAGTAATTTTCGATGATTTTATAGTTGACCCCAAATTGAAGGCTAAAACTCTGAGAAATTCAGTAATATTTTCTCACAGAATATATACACAACAGTAATATTGCAGTATTGTATTACGCGGGGGATGACTGTTGCCATCGGTCACCTGTAGCCTCTCACTAACAACTGTCTCGACCCAAATTGGGCCCAACATACAGACCTATCATAAGATTTAGCGCAAAGTCACGTTTCGGTCAGATATGTCGACCAAAAAGTGATGTTTGTTTAGAAAAATATATATATATATATATCCAGTAATAATAACTCATCAGCTTTTTTGGTATATTAAATAATGTACTGGCATACGAGTATTGTATTATGTATACATGAGTACAGGTGCGTTGTGTGTGTATATGTATTTTCTTTGATGCACCTGCAGGTCAATTATATGTGACCAGGAGCATCGCATGAATACGTACAATATATCTTATTTTTTATGGCCATACTAGAGCTGCTGTCAAATAATAAAACAATTTTATGTGAATTAGGTTTTGCGAAATAAGTGTACAGTATATACGACTGCCATTAGGTAATCGCCAATTTAAAAATTGTTTGGCTGGTAAATTATTTGTAAAAAATTGCACAATAATTTTAAATTTGATTTCCAAAAACTAAATTACTGCCCGAAAAAAACAGTAACTGTTATGTGCAGTGAATAGATATGTAGTGAATAGTGCCATATATATAGTTTTAATCGCAATATTGTATCATAAAAGGCACTCATTGTCATCAACACTGGAGTGGTTTGTGATAAAACTGTAAATGCATTTACACTTCAATTGCCGCTTATATAGACATCTCGCTCGGTTATTACCCGACATATACCCTACCCCTCTCACCATAATATACAATCACATTATACGATATCTAATACCAGTTTTTCGGTGTACGAGTCCACTCGGTATAGCCCTATCATAAAGTTTTTACAACATTTCAAGAGAGCATTCCATTCATTATTATTTTATTTAACAACTCTTTTTGGCTAAATTAAAGTCAAGTCTCTCTCTCTCTCTCTCTCTCCGTCCCTCGCAATATAATTGCTTGACTTTGAAATTCAATTATATTTGAACTAAAAAACACATTTTCCAAACGCAATCGTATTATACAATAAAAGATTATTTGAGAGAATCAATGACTCATTGAATAAGTGTTCAAAACATGAAATTACATTCAATTATAAGTGGGAATTAATTTCGTATTTCCTTAATATTAATGCCGTTTCTGTGAAGAGACAAAATAAATTTGAACGAAAAACACATACATATTGAGGCAATATTTTCGTAATAAACACATCAAAATGACATGAGTAAAAACCATAGGGGCTGGCAATATTTAATGACACGAAAAAAGCGCACAAATTATAGCCGAAAAAATAAATCGCTATTATATTTGACGACAATATTTGCAAACAATTACATCAATAGCATTACACAAAAATCTTAAAATATAAGAAATAAATTTCTATTTCATTAAACACATACAATAGAGGAGATGATGACTGGTTTTGTGACATTTTTGTCTATAGTGCCCAAACCCAATGTCTTCATCCCTGTCCCTATCCCTATGTGTGGATAGCCTGCGCACCGTTGCCACTGACAGACAGGTATATAATTTGGATTTTATTGCCATTTCATACGTTCACCAAAAAAATATATAAATCAATGGTTCGCTCGCAAAGAATTGTGGTCTAAAAGTATGGAGAACTTCCAGTCCCTCCACTGCCTATACCTTATGCGAGGTTCACTGACTTATGCAGTCCGACCACCGATGAAGTACTGGTGCTTACGATATATCTTAAGCTAAAATCTTTATGTATGAAAAACCCTCAGACTTATAGAGGGGGTGGGAGGGGTAGGAAAGTGGACATAAAGTGGCAAAAGTCTTATTTATTTTTTAAAAATCCAACCATAATTTGTACCATAATTTTGATTTTTGCAAACACACAACAAGTTTGTTCACAAAATTTGCAAATTGTTTGCCAAATATATTTGAGAACTCTCTCGCGATTAGTATTATTTATATAGAAAGGGGTTTTGAAATTACTATTTGTTATTCTTATGTGTTATTCTTTACACCAAAAAATAATCATAACTCATGTGCATATACCTGGAATTATAATTTCAGAATCAGATTAGTATAGCTCTCTCTCTCTCTCTCCTCACTAATCTGACAGATGACAAAAATAAATAAAAAACTGCATTACATTTAAACACAATCCCAAAAGTTATGGGAATTATTGGTCCCAAAGACTGAGACATACAGAAAACAAGAGATATTTAACTTATAGCGAGTGAACGGATATTGTTTTTTGTTGCGTTCATTGTATTGAAATAATGGCTAATAATTTATTTTTATTGCACCTCCATTTCCACGGAGAGGGTCGACTATTTCACAAAAAGTGCACTGCACACTTATCTCATGTATGTCTTAAATTAGATTTTAGCTTTTTGTGTTTTGTTGTTGTTTTATATTTCGAGGGTATCTATCGGTTAGTTTGATGTGATGATAGTTTTTATAATAAAAATTATTAATAAAAGTTTTTTTTGTGTGTGAACTCCATATACCTTCCCATTAACGGGTAATAATAGAGGGCTTTAATAGCGTAACTCTATTCTCTTAAAATTGATTTTTATTGTGTTTATTAATTTTAGGGCTATTTTTGAGCACATAATGCCCTTTTATACTAAATATAAGCAATTGATTTTGTGATGTCTAATAATACTTTAATAGATATGATTTTTATTATTACTTTTCTAGTATTTGATAAGATATTTGTTAAATACTTTAAAATTTGGGAAGAAATCAAAATAAAATTTTTTAGAGAATAACATAAAAGACATAAAAATTATTCAGTCTTTTGGAGTCTATTTTTATATTATAATTGACTTTATTTTTATTGTAACCAAAATATTTTATTTTCCGGCAAAAATCCAGTTTTATTATTAGTTTTTAAATATTCAATTCTGGCGCAGAGATAGTTTACTAACAAAAAAATTATTTAAAAAACTAATAAATTTTGAAATATTAATATTAGAGACAATCCCCACAGAAAAACACTTTTTTAAAATTAATGAATTCATTTGCAAAAGTTTTCTCACATAATTGCATTAACAACAAAACAACAAAAATATATGAAAATCTAATTGTAATCAATCATTGCTTTCCGTATATTAAATAATATGAATTTACGCAAAAAAACAATTTATTATCTCCTCTAATAATTGAATAAATTTTAACCTTTTATTTCATGTAAAACTGTTTGAGATTTTAATTAAAACTAATATCAAACTAATGTTTTAACAATTGTTGTGTTGAACTAGAATTAAGTTATTGTTTAAACTATTTTTTGCAAAAGTATATCACACAGCTTGAATTTGAAAATTAGGTTTGTATTTTAAAATAAAAATTCTCATGTATTGATTAGACTGCGAAATATTTAATGAATAACATTTTTATAAGTTTATAATATATGTGCAAATGTTATATAATATAAGTTTTATACACAACTGTTGAGTGGAGAGAGAGAAGTCAAACGGGTGTTTCGCAAACTAATAGCCAGATATTTGTGAATAATATTAACACAAAGCTATTTGTACCCAAAAATATTGGTACAACTGTTTCCATAAAGTTATATCCATTACACGATATCAATTGGATATATAAATTGGATTTTTTATTTGCTTTTTATTTTAATTTACAACAAAAATTCAATTAAATATTCTAGTGTTCAAACAAATAGTGTGTATAATAAAATAACAACAGAAATATTTTAATGACATAAAACGGGTTGTGTTATTGAATTGAGAACAATTGGAAACACAATTCAATTCAAGTTTACATTCAATTAAAACATCCTTTTAATTGTAATTCAGTTTTCATAATTAAAATGCACTTCTCGTTCAATAACATCAATAAAATATTTTTTATATTATAGTTAACATTGTTTTATTCGATACTTTGTCTACGATTTTAATAGCATTTTATTGTAATGACAGAAGCGGTGCAAAAATGTTTTAAGTGGTCCGGGGGTTATCGGAAAAGGGGGGCTGGTGGCAAACAAGCTATTATATATACAGTATATACAGTATATACATAAATTTATTCAACGTATATATCCCTATGCTCTCCATATGTTTGGATTGAATGCATTTCGAAAATTATACTTAAATATACATCTCTTATCACATGTATTACTGACTGATGTAATAAGCAATTAAGCGATGGATAGGTGTGTTTTTTAGTAGGTATGGTATGTATGCCAGACAATAAATACCAGAACCCTTTCATGATAGCAAATAATTTCTCAGATATACCCCTTATCTCTCTCTCCCGGGTTAACTCCATCGCTAATAATGTTTTTTGATATAATTATGGCATATATTTCGGTTGCAATTGATATCCTTTTGGCGTGAAATCAAAGGGACAAATATTTCTCGTAATATGTATGTTGTGTCCGGAGGGCTAACACATTATTACTTTGTATTTAAATAATAAATAAAATATTTCTACGATTATTATGACTAACATATTCATGAATTGTAGAGAGAAAAAGGGATAACTATTTATTAATAAATTATATTTGCATTTTAAAAACATTGACATATTCGTGTGATGAAAAAATGTTTGCGGATTTGAGTTGGATATTAGTATTGACCGCAATTATGTCGATGTCCTTGCTTATGAAATAGGGGTAATTTTGATATATTATTCAATTTAGACTTTCGATGAAGTAAACAAGTTAAAACTAGTGTGTGAACTAACAGGGCTTTTGTTAAAATTCAAGTTTTTTGTGAGCAAAACGTAATGTTTTGAAAGAAAATTAACTTTAAATTTAAATTAAGTTTACTTTCAAACGTGTATATTGTGTGCGAACTTCATGTTAGTATTGACTAACAATAGACAGAATACTCTTTAATTAGATGTATATTCAGACAACAAAAAAACTTAAACTACTTTTATGTTGAAGACATTTGAATGAGTTTTTTGAGAGAAATATTTGCGAATATAAGCAACGAATAAGTCATTACAAAAGAGTCTATTATTTCCATACCTATTGAACATTAGGGCAATATTTTTCTCATTCCTTATCTATCTATCGATATATCATTTTAATGACAGTTAAAACTGTAGTGAAAAAGATCCACAGAATCGCCATATAATGACTCAAATATCTCATCTCAACTCTCTCTCTCTCTCTCTCTCTCTCCGTCCCTCGCAATATAATTGCTTGACTTTGAAATTCAATTATATTTGAACAATGTATGCCAGACAATAAATACCAGAACCCTTTCATGATAGCAAATAATTTCTCAGATATACCCCTTATCTCTCTCTCTCTCTCTCTCTCTCTCTCTCTCTCTCGTCTCTCTTGTCTTATAATACACTGACTTCTTATCAATACAAGAGTAATGAAACTTTTTCGACTTAATGTGAGAATTACTATTAGTTTCTATAGTGTTGTATAACAAGACACTGAAAATCGTGTGAAAAACTTTTTCCTTTTTTTACTCTCGCACTCAGTATCTGTTATTACAATCAATTAGAGAGTTATATCTTATGTAAGACTATCCGTAAGTATATAATTGAGATGACTTTGAATTTTTAAACACATCACTATTTTATCATATTTTCCTTGTTTTATATATTAATACATTATTTATCACATGCTGTATGAAAACAATTTATTTTTAAATAAATTATCTATAAACTTACAAAGTTAAATATTATTTTATCTGATAGCCTCTCACGTATATTTTCCCACATAGTTTTTTATATCACTAGAATAATAAGTTTATATTCATACTTGTACTAAATATACAATTTATGTGAACATATTTTCGATAGACTGAGAGTTTGTTTAAAAAAATTGAAATCAAAAACATATTCTGATTAAGAATATTATGATTGATTAGACATACATGTGATATAACGCTATGTATTACAAGTACTCCTCACACATATAAATATTATTACATACCAAGGGTACTGTAAATACAAAATGATTTTTCATTATTGATTTCAATCGCCAGAGTCCCCTAGAAATTGAGTGGTCGAGAGAGTCATGAAGGAGAGAGAGAGAGAGAGAGAGAGAGAGAGAGAGAGAGATCTCAGGGATAGGATCTGAAACATAATTTTCCACGAGATGTTAGTCACACAAAAACTCGTTGTCTATTGTTATTACCATTTGTTGTATACAATAGAGACAAGTGAACAGTAGTTGGCGAGAGAGAGAGAGAGAGAGAGAGAGAGAGAGAGAGAAATAGGAGCTAATCCTCACTCCAGTGGCCAACACAACTGTATTGGTATTTATGTTTTTGGCCATTGATTTGGTTGGGGTCTCAACGACACAATAGTAGGGCTTTTGTCACATTTAATAAACATAACACAACTGTACTCTCGATGTTTGGGAAAGAGGTTACGCGCCGATAGTTTCGAAACATAATTATTCACATATGCCTTAAATTAACAAATATACATTGCATTCATATATCAAACTTATTCCTAGTTCAATCATAAACCATGAATTTGTTTTATCTATTCTGTGTTAATTAATAAAATAATTTTCCAATAATTTCAATTACTTTCTGATAATTAAATTTCTCAAATAATTAAAACGGTATACAAAGTGCGGTGGAAATAAATTACCGGTATTTGTGTCAATAAATAAAATCATTTAATTTAATTTGGGCAAAAAACAAGTTGTGAGAGTGAGTTAGAAACTGGACTGACTTACTAGGAATGACCTCCTAATGAGTACCAGTCCACACATACAATAACACCAGTGGTCACCGTAGCCTTTCAGGCATATGTTATATGCCCTGCGATCCCCGAGTGAACACACTATTCAGAGGCACCTGTGCTCTCACAACCACCACAAATACAGTTCAAAGAGAATTGTGTACAAGAGTTGCATGTGTGTGATAGACCCGGCTATACCTGCTTCGGTGAGAATGAGTCTCTCTCTCTCTCTCTCTCTCTCTCTCTCTCTCATGCTATCATTAGTTATTTATTTCATTTTGAGCCCAAAATTTCCATTTGAATGAATAGCGGAATGAATGCTTGACTTACATATGACTGCACAGTGAGAGTGAGAACCCGAGAGAGAGAGAGAGAGAGAGATTCAGTGAAAGAGTCAATGGTTTTCTCTCTCTCATGAACTGGTCTTGAAATTAGACCCAAAGCCGAGAGAAAATGTATTTTTCTTTTCTATTTCAGTGCTTATTGTGTTTTCATAGAAACATAAATTGTTTATAATCCCAACGATTATATTATATTTAGCCTATGGTTTGCAATTCGTTTCATACATCTAATTGTCATCTAATGACTTATACGCGGAGAATATGTTATTTACAAAAATAGTTTTTCATTTTCATTTGAAAGTCGAAAACTGTGTAAATCATTAATTTTATGACAATCTTATCGTTACTATAATTAGACTCTAATTCTGTGCTAAGTCTTCACATGCGATGACATTTGCTGTCAAATCAATGTCTTTGCGATTTCAATACGTTATAAAAACAAATTATATTTTCAATATAAACCAATTTCTAAACTAGGTTTTTTATGTGTGCAAAATTTTTATGAATAGAAAAATATTTTTCTCAACCTATTTACTAACAAAAAATATGAATTTTACAAAAATCTTCATAAATAAAAATTATGTTATTAATTGTTATCTATAAAAAAAATCAAATACATAATACTAAGCCTTTTATACAAAACACATATTTTAAATGCATTTTACTACCAATTTGAAGACAATTAATATTATCGGAAAAATTATTGCATTTTATTCCCCAAAAAACCAGGAAATCATGTATTAATATAATATTAATAATTGTAGGAAACATTTGGTCATACAATCAATCAATTGATTCCTTCAATTCAATCCTTTATCTAAATTATTTAGAGCTTAAAATATGATTAAAAAATAGTTTTTTAACGTCGAGTACTAAAAACTCACGAATTAATTACACAATTATATGACTGAGAAAAGTACACAAATCTTATATAATCTGCTGATAATATAAAACCTTTTTCTACTTATTTATTATAATAATTGATGAGAAGGTTATATCTGTATATAAAGAGTGGCATTAATTCATTTCAACACAATTGTATAAATAGTCATACAGTATATGAATTATAATTTTAAAACACTTAAACAATTGACTCCTTTTTCATTTTAATCATTTAATTTATGTCCATTATGTATAATAATATTTTCTCATGCATTATACGCATAGAGTTGGCACTTATATCGCGGGTTTTTATATGTATTTCATTTGCGGTTATTATACAGCCTTTTAATAGATTAAGTGAATATAAACTCTAATTATATGAATATATATTTGCTAAATTGTAATTGTATTAAAATAAGTACAGTGATTTAAAATATTTGAGAGAGAGAGAGAGAGAGAGAGAGAGAGAGAGAGAGTAATTTGTTTTGACACTAAATCCTAATTTTAAAACCTCTCGACTCTTACCGTTTGAATTTCAATAATTTCTTTTTTATTTTCTCAACTAATTTATAAATAACATAACAATTTATATGGGAATTAAAACACATATAAAATGTATTATATTTGTCTGTTTCCAAACAAAGAGAGTGTTGTATTGTATGAGAAATTTATTTTTACTTTTAAACCATCACTTTATGTGCGGCTTATTATAAATGCCAACAATTCTTAGACAACTTATGTGTGCCTAATAACTGAAAATATCAAAATGTATTTTTATAATATATTTTCTAACAGTAATTGCATTGAAGAACTTTATAAGTAAGTTGAGAGAGAGAGAGAGAGAGAGAGAGAGAGAGATGAATGAGTAAATAAGAAATGCAATTATCATAAAATTTTATTTATATTATTCAAATAGAAATAGAGAGAGACTTAAAGTCGTCGGCAAAAAGCAACTAAACAAACGGCAAAAGAAAATATTATACAATAAATAAGTCAATGTGTTGTGAATTATATAAAAAAGTAGTCTCAAATAATTACTATAAGCATTAAAAAGTTTTGTTTTTTGTTAATATTTCACTATAAATGTCTATTTGCGAGTCACGCAAAACGTTTAGTTAGTTTTAGATTTAAATATACACTCGAAGTCTGAGGTTTCAGTCAACACAATACGGCTATTAATATGCATAAAGTCTTTGGAGAAAAATTTTTAAACAACTCTCTCTCTCTCTCTCTCTCTCTCTCTCTCTCTCATAATTCTATGCAAATAATTATCATAAGGATTATAAATACAATTTCAGATTTAATCATAACTGCAATGATAATAAGTATATTGCTTTTTGCCGACGACTTTAAGTCTCTCTCTATTTCTATTTGAATAATATAAATAAAATTTTATGATAATTGCATTTCTTATTTACTCATTCATCTCTCTCTCTCTCTCTCTCTCTCTCTCTCTCTCTCATAATTCTATGCAAATAATTATCATAAGGATTATAAATACAATTTCAGATTTAATCATAACTGCAATGATAATAAGTATTTTAATGTGGAGTATGTCTCTCACGTTATGCCATAATTTCAGTGCTTATGTAATACTCGAGATATTAATACTTAAAATCCAAACTAATATATGAAACTCAAGATTCATTTCAAGAGCGTATTAAATCTGTAAACATATAATTGGTATCCAATTCCCAATAAATGCCAACTCTTATCGCCAAATACTACCAGTGCTTGAACAGGAGTGACACTCAAACATTTATCTCATACATACATCCCAAATGTTACGAGAATTAACTCTGAAGTTAACAATAAGTTATTATTAGTTTACGTTCAGAGGAAATATATATCTCTTGGAAAGGCGTCGATCATACGATCAGATAATTGTTTTTTTGTTTGGTGCAAACCCTCGACATACTGGTGCTCGACATACAACTGTTGTATTATACATTTCAATGCCATGTAGTATATGTGCCAAAATTGGCAATTGAGTTGAATTTGGGCTAAATTTAAAAATATTAATTCAATAATTTTCAATACGAATTGCATATGTATTGTTATTATTGGGGATATTCTCATTGAAAAAATTATTTTTATTTATAATAATATTAAAAAATATTAATTTATATAAAACTCTATAATCAATCAAATATTTTTTACCAAACACACTATCCGTATGAATATTTTGCATGAAAATTACAATAGCATAATATATTATAAAAAAGCCAATTCATTAAATCAGAATTAAATATTTAAAAAAATAAAACTAATTATAAAAACTACTCATTCATAGGAAATAACAATAAAATCATAAATATTAAAACGATTGAAACGAATGGGAAGTCTAATAAAAAACTCAACAAAATATTTATGAAATTCTCGGTGAATCTGATGTGCAAAACAAATACATAAATAACTCATTACTCCGATTGAGTTGTGACTAAAGCTATAAAAACATTAATAGCAAAATACATAAAAATAGATTATATTTGCTTATATTAAACACGTTTATATACATTATTAGACAATATAATAGCATAACTAATATAACGAGAGTTCGCAACAGACGGACCCCGACGTGAACCGTCAGTTTCCGGGGGGTTATGGGAGTGGGAGTCGAGTGAAGGGCATAACTCCTATCCCATTGTAATGACAAAACAAAAACCTATTCAGACATAAGCCACAAGAAAATACCTATTGTCTGCATCGTAACTAATGACTATATTTTTTGTGCTTGATAATTAATGACAGGACGACTTCGATACCCTGCGGCCCCTGTGCTACCCGCAGACCAACGTATTCCTCCTGTGCTTCAGTGTGGTCTGTCCCACGAGTTTCCACAACATCCAGGAGAAATGGTTGCCAGAGATACGCCGCTACGGGAACAAAGCGCCCATCATTTTGGTGGGCACTCAGTGCGACCTCCGGCACGACGTCAAAGTGCTCATCGAGTTGGCCCAGTGTCACGAACAGCCCGTCAATAGCGAGGTGGCCCGTAGGGTGGCCAACAAGATCGGCGCCGTCAAGTATGTCGAGTGCTCAGCCCTCACGCAAAAGAATCTTAAGGTTTGTACACTTTTTTTTGATATTGATTTTATATAGAAATTAACTTATTTACAAAAATATTAAGAAATTATTTCTATGAGAGAGAGAGAGAGAGAGAGAGTCTTTTTTAGGACAATAATGATTTTTATTGAGAATAATAGTATTCTTAATACTAATAAATTAGTCTATTTATTATGAAGTGAAATGATATAAATTTAATGTAATTTCTACTTATATTACTGTAGAGTATATTCTTATATTTGATTTCTAAAAATACAATTTACTATTGAGTTTAATTGGTATTTCAATTTTTTTAAAAAGTATTTATTTTAAAGCCATTTAAATTATTACTACAATTTTTTCATATAATGGCTCACCAGAAACTAGGCTAATTAAACAAGAAAAACAAAATTAAATACTTTTGTCTTTGCTTATACAGTAATCATAATCATAAATTTCTAGATATGAATAGCGCACAGGTATACTAAACTTAGCGATCTATATATTAAACAAAACTTGAAACTCAATTGTATTTTCGCACAACTTTTATACTAAACTACATTATATTCTGTATATTAATACGAAAAACACTTCTCACACACCATTTGACACACAATAGCCATTTGATTGTCAAATATGATAACCCAAAACACTCACCACTACTCACACATAACTCTCTAAATAAATTAAAATCTCAAAAATAAAATCTCTCAAAAACACAGACAATAGCATCAAAAAACAACAACAAAAATAACTAATAATTTATTTCTCAATATATTGAATCCAAATAAATAGGAAGTGTTTGACACATCAATACTGACGGGCATTGAATACGAGCAGCAATTGCTACAGAAGTCATCCGTCAAGAATACACCGAATATTCTGGTCAGTTGGGGCAAAGCCAAGGGCAAAAAGTGGCTCAAAAGTGGCTGCAATTTCACTACCGGTGCCGTCGCCGACCACCACCACCACTGCCACAGCGCCTGTTGCTCGTCGTCGGGCTGTTCATCATCGGCGTCGACCACGTCGTCGTCGGCGTCCAGCTATAGCTGTAGCGACACATCTCTGCCGCCGCCCATACCCTACCCCCGCAAGGAGTCGACCGCCACGACGACAGCCGGTAGTCACGTGGCCAGCCATACACCGCCCGGTGCCCTACACCCGTGTCAGCCACTATTCTGTCAACATTCCAGCAAATGCCACAAAATGTCTAATAATTCGCATAAAAATAGATTACGAAAGGGTTGGCGCAGATTCTGTTGCGGTTTGTGATACCATACATTTAAATGAGTAAATATATTATATTATAATTATTATTATATACCCCCACACAAAACACATATGACAAAACTGTGTATATGTTTTTATTTGTATGTATAGAATTTGTTTTACAAAACACTGACTTTTTTTAAAAATATTATTATAAATATAGTGTACGTGTTGTGTATAGGAATGGTATTTGGAGTAAAACAATAAGAGATTTAAATTTATGGCAAGTTTATGAGCAATGAATATAATAGCGTAAAGAATCTGTGTTTAATTGATTTGAGTTTTTCATATTTGTTTTATTGTTTGCCACAAAAATATAAATACAACAAAAACACACTCAAAACAACAAACATTTCAAATAACGAGACCTGATTTATGCAAATATTATAAATAAATATTTTATAACATTTAGCTGTGTATTAAAAATAGACTCATGCAAGAAAATATAGCAATTTTGTGGTACAGAAATATAAATCTCATAACGAATTTAAATGACAAAAACAAAAACAGTAAGAGAGAGAGACAAAACTTATATTTTGCTATAAATTTGTCATTAATTTTAATTGACTGACACATCAAGTGATTGCATATAAAAGGCAACAAAATAAAAAGACATATTTGTGTCAAAAGCGATTGTAATCAGTGGAAACAAAATCAAAACACATAAACAACAAAATGAATAAAAAAGATTTTTAAATATTATATTTGATTTATATTATGGCTTTTTGAAAATCTATTGACTTTTTAGCGTAAAAATAAGAGAGAGAAATAAGTTTTTTTTCAATTATTAATAATGTTGTGTACAAATCTCTTATATACTGTATATCTATATCACTATTAATTATTTCCTCATATTCTCACTATTAATACGAAAACTTCTTTTTGTGCAAAAATTTAAGTGGAATTCAAACGCAAGAAATAAACAAAACTTTTTTCTGTTGTATAAAACAAACTTTTAATTTGTTTGAGATTTTCAAAAATAAAAACAAATATTTATATGTATTGATAGTATAATCATTATACTATAATGAGAACTATTAAAATGGATTACCAACAACAAATTTATTATTTATACAAAAACATATATTGGTTAAGTATTATGCAAAAATAAATATAATTATTATATGAAAACCTCTTATATTAAGTTATAAGACAAACCAAGAATATGAGTGACATATCAGACAAACCTAATGTTAATCTCATTGATTGGGAAAATCGATTGAAGATTGTATTGAAATTGTATTTAAAAATGTGAAAAATATATTGTAATCTAAAAAAAGTATAGATGAATTTATAATGTAAAAAACAAACACAATATTTAAGATCAAAATATTATATTATATATACGAGAATATGTATGGACCCAAAATCAAAAATTACTTATAATATTTCACCTGGCTTTTATATAAATATAAATGTTTTTCTTATATTATAAAATAAAATGATCATTTTTATTAAATCAAATTCATTTGTGTCATTTATTTATTATATTAATTTTTCCCAGAGATATTTGTTTTCAATGAAAAAATTCAAAATATTTTTGCCAATAAAAGGACTTAAAGGAAAGTTGTAATGAAATGTTTTCAAAATAAATCTCATAAATAATAAAAGAAATATTTTCTAATAACTCAAAAACTTATAGAAAACAAAAATTTTAAAATAAGTTTATATCCTATCAAACAAAAGCGAGATTAAGTTTATGTTGAGAAAAAATGTCAAAATTTATGATAAATTCAAATCCAATGCTATTTAATATTAATTCTCTATTTCTTTTCATATTTTCTTACAATCAATGCCTTTAAGAAATACGAGAAAGAAATATAATATTATATAAAACAAAATCAAATACTTTTTAAAAATCAAGTTTTATTCATTGAGAGCACACATAATAACAGTGCGTTTGACGACTGGATGACAGGTATTATTACTGTTAGGTATAGAATAGGAATGGGATGTGAGAAACAAAAGTCCCCTAAAGTCCCCCCAAAACACCACAACATTTGATACCACTATTCGGCACCAGAAAGGAGACCAAAAAATATGTGTCTAATAAGAGCCTCTGAGGCACACATATCTCTTGAAACAAATATCACATTAAATATTAGTTTTCAATTCAATCCAAAACCACAGATCTGTTTGAATTGTATACCAAAAGCCTTGAGAATAGCCTATTCTAGTGATTGTGTGTTGAGAGACACTATTTTAGACACTTTTCCAGTACTCGATATACAGTGTATTAAATATGAGACAATAAAATTATATAACAGGATACTCTCTATGGATATCAAATGTGAATTTCACAATTTGATATTCACCATAGCTTATAATATAATATTTAAATTTCAAAGTATAAGTGTTGTCTCTCGTAAAGCTATTTTTTCGGGTATAATAATAACGAAAATAATGTCTTTTTTATTATTTATGAAAACGCCGACAGCGTTTGATTATACATAACATCAAAAAAACACATATAAAATAATACTTTAGATTTTATATCAAGTATATCTTATTGGGACCACTTTTTTGTGTATATGTTATGAGACAAAAAAAAGTTATTATAAAATTGTTTTATATTGAAAAACACAATTTATATTACACTTGAAATTCAAGACATATCCAATTCATCATAATTCTCAATGTGTTTTTTCATATCACATATAATAGGCTCTTAAGGATTGGAAATAAGTTAGTATTATATTTGAAGTTCGCATACAATGTGTGGTACAAAGAGTTTGTAATTTAATTTTGCATTTGTTTTCAATGTTGCGTTTGGTATCGAATTTAGCATTTAATTGGAGCGAAAAAATCAAAACACATTTGCAATTATGTATCAAAAGATAGTGTTTTTGTATCATATATTTTAATACACTATAAATATATGCATTAGGAGGTTGTAATAAAAATTATCATTCATTTTATTATTATTTAAAATAGTGTAATGCTTTTATGATCACTATAAATGTTACATAATTATTGTATAATTAGCACAAACACTGTCTTTTAAAAACTGCTATAATTATATATAAATGAAATCACTATTAATATTAGGATTTTCCAGTCAATGATCAAATATTTTATATCAATAATTTGCTTTTTGTTAATACTTTATTACTAATGAGAGAAATGGTTTTTCTATCATTAAAATAGTAGATTAGCTGTCAATTAATAACCCAATTAACAAAAATCATTTATTAATGGTTTGAGAAAATGTTAACATATTTTTGGGTTTAGACTTTTTTGATTGCTATTCATTTATTAAATAACTTATATGTTATAGTTTATTTAATTTTTATGTTCATTTTATAATTAGCATAATAAATGAAAATGAATTAAATCATATTTATAAGTTGAGCAACAATTTTAATTTTAAAATAAGCGACGTTAATAATGATACTAAATTTAATTCAAAGTACATGTTGACATAAACAGTATTAACAGGCACATATTGTGCAAAATATTAATTGAGTTCAATGAATTTGCTCAATAAAACTTACTCTAATTAGAGTTAAATAGTAATAACTCATTATTAATATTAATTAGTCTCTCTCTCTCTCTCTCTCTCTCTCTCTCTCTGATATGTAAAAACAAAAATAAATTCTTGACTGTAAAAACTGTTATTTTTCTAAATTTAATACCAAAACAGTTTACAAATCCGATTCACTTCACGTTTTGTACATATAATACATCAAAACGTTTTATAAATAAACTCCGACTTTGGGGTAAAACGATTGGCAAATGTGTTATCACTGCACACACAACACATGCCATACACTTATCGCACGCACTGTAAGACAAACGTGGATTTGACTGTAGCTCTCATTTTAACACTTATTTAGTTATCACCTCAATATATATACGGCAATCAATTAACGTGTCGATCGGGAATTAGGTCTACAATTTCTATGTCTCTAATCTCATACACACGGCTATCATAACGCCTTTGCATACAACGAGTTTTAGCACTGTTTTTGTGAATATATTTCAAAAATTAACGAAATTTTTTTCCCGTTAATAGAGATATACATGAATATGGAGTAACAAAGTGTCATATAAAGTGTAAAAACTCTCCCCTCCCTTAATACCCACATATAATCTGCTAATCCTTGCTCTAATTATAACCAAATCTTTCATAAATAATTATTCACAACATAAAAACTAAATTTTAATTAAAATTTGATTCA